CACACACACACACACACACACACACACACGCTCTCTCTCTTTCTCCCTCTTTTTCTCTCCCTCCCTCCCTCCCCCCTCTCTCTCTCTCTCTCTCTCTCTCTCTCTCTCTCTCTCTCTCTCTCTCCTTCTCTCTCTGTCAAATTATGTTAAAAATATTGGCAATTGCTCAATGAAAAGTCATAATCAGAATTTTATCTCCTTAATTTGTTCAGCCCGATCTTGGCTTATGTCGCCTGTAGAATACGAGCTGTCTGGGGGACGGTAAAAAAATCTCATCTTTTGGGGGAATAGTCGCATGTAGGTCTTTATTCCCGAAGGTCATTATAGTTTTATCGTTGTCGTTCTCGTCGTCGTCTTTATCATTCTCAGTGTTGAGGTTGCTGCTATTGCTGTCGTTTTTATAACTATTGCAATTGTTTTGTTCATGCCAAATTTGAAGTCATACTCATTTTTGTCTGCGAAGTTTTGCTGTCTTCGTCTTCGTCGGCATCATCATCATCATCATCATCATCATCATCATCATCATCATCATCATCATCATCATCATCATCATCATCATCATCATCGTTGAAAGCTCGAAGTTAAAAAAGGCAAAAAATTTGGCGGAGACTAGAATTTAAATATTCATAGCACTATAAGTTCAACGTATCGTCCTGAGGGCTTCGTCATGAACATCGTTCTCTTTATCATCAAAATCATCATCATCATCATCATCATCATCATCATTATCATCATCAAAGGCTGTTTTAACAAATCATAGCGCAATATACCACTGTCCTCTATCATACTATACAATTATGTCACAGCAAGTGATACAACAAATGCAGAGACATGAAATAAACAGAAAACAAAAGAACAAACCTCCTCTTGACCATCACACCTTCCCGCCTCCACAAGAAAGCAGAGACGAACTAGCTTAATTTAAATGCACTTCACTGAACGGTTGTTTGTACCTGATTGAACAGCCCCGAGGAAATAGACGCAGAACAACAGTAATCCAAAAGCCTGCATCCTGGACGAATCGGTTGCTTTCGGTAGATCTATACTAAGAGAGGAAGTGGCGTCGAAATTGCTGTGCTCCGCTACGTAAACGTCGACCCGACAGCCTTAGTAACTGTGAATTATTCTGTTTGCTTTAAAGACAGAGATCTATTATTACACGATTATGTTGAGCTGTTTTCTCAGCAGCCTTTGTTTCGTCCAATCAGAAAGTAGATGTGCGAAATAAATAAAATTATTCAAGGGGTCAAATAAAAACCACGTATCACGATGTTGGCTTCAAATGTCCTTTTTTCTCCTCCAATGAAATCGAAACAGAGCTACTATACATACCAGACCTGAAGGCACTTTTTTTTCCTAAATCAGAAAAGAATAGTTCAAAACTGATTCTAAAGCAAAGATGAACCAACTTTTTCATATATTGAGAACATTTTTCAACAACGATATTTGAAAATTTAATTTGACTCCTTGCCAACCTTACCATGCTATCTTCTTGTTTTAAAGTTACAAGAAACAAAAGCAAGCAAAGTAAAACCAAACAAACGTGCTTATAACTTAAATCTACACTAATTGCATAGCCTTTTTATACACGTACAGAGCTGAGATAGTCCTGTATTGGTGTATTGTTGAACTTATTGTGTGGGCATCTATCAATATTATCGCTTTCTTCGGAGGAAAATTGTGATTATGTGTTTAGAGGTGGAAAACTTTTTAAAATGTTTTTTTAGTGCACAAGTCTAAGAATAATATCTTTTCTATCAGTTCGAGAAGCTTTTTGGCGATTACTGTCTTTTCATATAATATGACACCACAGCAAAGTTGTTCTTTACAGGGGTTTTTTTTTTGGGGGGGGGGGAGGGGGGTCGCTTGCTGTATGCTGCTATTTCACAGCATGTAAAGGTACACCTAGCACCAAAATAAGCTTATTAAGAGTCATTATCCTAGTTTTATAAACACTTCGAGGGCCATTCCATGGATTTGTTAGCTGTAATTGAATTTTCCGAATCAAGCAAAATCATATAACAGAACCGTCATAATTACTAGAAAGATATTATTGTTGTCTATATACAGATAGAAATATATTGTCTTGAGTAAATAATATGAAATATACTGTCTTTATTAAACAATGTGAGTTTTCTTATTCTGTCTTTTTACCCGTAGAAGAACTCGTTTAGAGCATAATTGTCTTTAAAGTAAACAAAAAAAAAGTTGTGGATCAAATTACCTGGTCTGAATGTTAAGACGTTTTATCCTTAAGAAATTTACTTTTCTTTATTTTCCTCAGTTGACTTTGTAGCACAGAACAACGGGTAATTTGGAATGAACAAAAACCCAAGGTTGTTATTATGTTGTCGCATTCATGACTACATGTACAGATTTTAATAAGGAGAGCAACGTTTGACTTTGTGAAAGCACAGTGTTACTTTTACAAGAAAGAAAAGTTTTACGGTAAGTTTAAAAGGAAGATGTGACAATATCTCTCGAAATTACTAGCCTCGTACTAAAGAATGGCTTCGAAAAGTTACGTTGTGAAGAATGGAATTACCCATGACCGCCGAGGAATTCGTCGATCTCGCAAATTGTTCTCCCTCTGAACACCCGGCACCAGGGTAGTTTAGACACTGCTATTGCATACATTGCTGTTAGTTTTTCTTTTTCCGTGAGCCCACAGGGTTCATGTGGATGTGCCTGTTCGTGAATCGTGAACCTTAGTTTTTAGCAAGCTTTGGGTTTTGTCTTTTTGAGCACCCCTGCTCCCCCCAATAAATAAATAAACAAAACAAAACAAAAAAACAAACAAACAAAAAACAAAACAAAAAAATCCACCTCCCAAAAAAACCCAACCCAACTCAAGAACACTTAAACAAGCATAGCTCGTTCCAAAGAAAGTGCCACGCAGCCCTCTTTAGTAGAATAGTCACATTGACATCTATAATAAGAAGCACTAGTTTGTGAGATTTTCCAATTTGTGCGCTGGCCATGACTTCTGCACTCTGTTGAAGAGGGGTGCAAAAGGTGTGTGTTTCTCTTGAAGAAGTCGTTTTGCTTAGGAATTTTGGGTTCTGATTCTCTACAGGTCCTAATTGATGGACCATTTCCACCATTGACATCAAAGAAACCCTTAAGGGCACTTTAACATTATTTCTAATTCTGTGCCTTGTGTGAAACTTACGAAATGAGTTGGTGGTGAGAAAATGTTTAATACAAAAAGGTCTGTGCTCTTTACTGATCTTAACTATGATTTCAGCAGGCAAAGGAAACTTGAGAAAAACTATCTGCAAACTTCTGTTGTCCTGTAAAACTGCTGTAGTTTGCAATATTGCGCAATCGTTGGAAATTTTAGTGGTAGGCCTAATGTAAACTAGTGCGTCATGCTACAAAAATCGGGACATAGCTGAAAATAGGTTGTTTTTTACGCCCTATGTAGAGCAAAACTATTCTGTGGATTTTTCTAAAATGAATATCAGACAAATTCCTTTTGACTTTCAAATGTTGTGTACAAATTGGAAACGAAAATCTTCAGTGTGGAGGAAAATATTAACAAAACAAGGTGTACAGTTTTTTTGGATCACCCTGTATACAAAGGGATCGCCTGTGCCTTTTCAGTAAGCATCTGTTTATCACAGCGTTCAATGAAAGGGTAGATGTAGCAACAATTAGCATGTGAGATGTAGGCCAACGTAATTACCATTATAATTAATAAAGGCAAAGTGGCATAATGCAGTGATTAAACTTGGTCAGTAAATTGGCGTTGCTTTAGTCGTGGTTCTTGTATGTAGACACCTCCTTTTTCTTTTTCTTTTTCGTTCTTAAAAAAATCTTTGCAAACCTAAGAATTGGTATTTTAGATTTCTTATCTGGGAGGAGGGGGGGGGGTAATTATTATGACTTAGAAAAGTTGCCTATTTCGGCTTGTATCAGCTCTGGGTAGTTCGAAGAGGCTTAAGATAAAGATCACAACGTAAAAATCGTACTAAAAAGAGAAATTAATAGAATTTAAGGTTAAGAATGTTTGAACTAGGAGTAAGGGAAAGGGTAAGAACCCTAAAATCACGCCGTTTTGATCAAAGAAAAATAGGTTATTGATTGACATGAATTTAGCAGCAGGGACGAAAAAATGAACATAGATTATGTTCTGAGACCGGTACTGACAACTGTTGTAGATGAAGGAGGCAGTCTCAGCTAGTGCCGGGCGCCTTGGTTCCCGATTATTGATGAAAGCTAGGAATCGTAGGAATCGACTCCGAACCCAATTACTTCACATCAATCAATACATACAATAGACGACTGCACCGCTCTCTCTCTGTCTGTCTGTCTGTCTGTCTGTCTGTCTGTCTGTCTGTCTGTCTGTCTGTCTGTCTGTCTGTCTGTCTGTCTGTCTGTCTGTCTGTCTCTCTCTCTCTCTCTCTCTCTCTCTCTCTCTCTCTCTCTCTCTCTCTCTCTCTCTCTCTCTCTCTCTCTCTCTCTCTGGCTCACACTAGAACTTTCTAATGATGTGATTTCTTCCGGTGTTTACCTGGTTGGCTCCGAACATCTTCAGGGTTTAGGATCACCTTGATTTCGGAACACTACGAAGCATCAACTTTTTTTTTCTACAATATATATTTTTTGTTTAAAATAAGATTTTAATGATTAAGGTAACTGGTAACCGTTGGTTTACGTAAAAAAGAGTCGGAACATTTCTTCCGTACCATTAAATGTGGGAATCGGTTCCGGAATCGATCCTTCGCCCAGCTCTAGTCTCAGCAGAGTACGTGGTGGCACATGTAGAGCAATCCCAAAAAAATAAAGAGGCTTACTGGGTTGAAAAAAGGGCACGTATAAATAATATTACTAAAGTCCCAATCTAAATAACTGTTGACCAGGTTATCTTGCTGAATCAAAATCAATATTGTTGTTGTTTGAAAAAAATCGAAGTGAATAAAATGTTCAACCACTGGGAATGACGCCATGATGGCGATTTCTATTTTTGTTGCGCAGGGGATTCTCTATTAACAATCTGTTTAAACAGTTTCTTGTCTGATTAAAACTGAGGGCCAACTTGACAACAAGGCACGTGCTATGAGCCAGTCTCCTCCTCCGATCTACACTGGCTACTGGCACTTCTCGACTTCGTAGACACCCCACGACTGCCTTTTTTGCCAGTCTGAATCACCGTGCTCTCCATCTCTCCTACTGTACACCGTTTCCTCTTGTTTCCCTCTTTGTCTGTCCTCCCTTCGAACTCCTTCTGCCTTATCTTTTTCTTCTTCCGTGAACTGACCATACTTTCATCTCTCAATGTATCCTTGATATCTAAAGAGTACGCCGTTAGGCCGCTAATCGGGAATAAAATTCAACATTAAGAAATTCCCCACCAAAAGAATATTATCATTATCACACCTGTAGATAGTGAGACTCATCCTTACATCTTCTTCCTTGATTTTAAATGTATTGCCTAAGTCTCTCCTTTGGAACCGGCGTCTGCGGTGTAGCAGTCAGGTATCTCTCTGTTTTGTACACAAGAGACCCGAGTTCGATTCCCAAATCAGGAGAATTTTTTATCGATATCTCAGTCTGTCTTCTGGGATATCTCAGTCTGTTTTCTGGGATGTTGTATCCTGCTCAGCCCAGCCAGAGTTGGCCCAGACGGGCAGGGTCGGAAACCCGCCCCTTCAATGTACAGGTTAGGGCGTTAAAACACCTTCATGAATAAAGAAATCTTTCCGTTTGGAAGCAAACACATTAAAGACGTTAAGGACTGAAGGGAGGGAAGTAGTACTCTGGCATTCAACTTCCTACATCAAGTCTAACGCCCGGGCAAACCTGTATCACGCATACTGCTTTAGTCATCATCGATGCCAAAGGACAGCCGGAGAAGGTATCAAAGCAGTTTGTCCCTTCATCCTCCTCCAGATTACTTTTTTGTCCACACACAAATATGATAATACATGTATTATATATTTGTGTGTGTACGTGTATGTGTGAGTGCGTGTGCGTGTGCGTGTGTGTGTGTGTGAGTGTGTGTGTGTGTATGTGTGTTAGTGTATAATAATACAATCACACTAACGAACCTCAATTCACCTCTCACGGAGAGCGGGTTCTCAATTTCCAGAGGGACAATTCTATTGTGATAAAGATGTGATAAAATAACGCTGATTATCTCCCTTTGATTGTTTTTGTTTAGCTGAGCGGGGTTTTGTGTGGAGTGGGATTCTGCCAATTCACTA